AATGGGAGCCTCTTTTCTACACGCGTTACCCATTGCCTATCCGGTTAGGTGATCGAACGACTTCCGTTAATAGCAGTCAATTGTCAGGAGGGAACAGACGCCAAATGCTGCATTTCTGGCTGCGGTGACGTCGACGACGGTGACGGCAAGTAAAACTAAACCATCGGACGTCTTTTCCCATTTTCTTAGCGGGTTACTATTTCTTACGTGTGGTGGAGGGAAGATCCTCCTCTGCCTTTGCTGGCGTTAGTGGAAGCTTAATCAGCAAAACCACACCATTTCGGTCCCTTGGTTGAGATTGGATTGCGTTTACAAAAAAGATGAACTACATTAAGTTTCGTGAGTTGTGCCAATGGATGGAACCACCTCCACGACCCTAGCTGATAAATGGTGTATGATATGGCCTCCAGAAAGCCACTTTACCCCTCTACCAATGGTTGTCGATGCATTTATGCATTAGTCTAAAGAAATTTACCACTCTGCAGGCGGTTCGGATACATAGCTTGTATACCCGAAACTAGTTTATCCCGCAGTTCAAAGCTCAAAACGTATTTATTATTAATCAAACAAACTTCATTCATTTGCAACAATGTATGCATGCGACTTTTCCTAAGGATCTTCGATTACTGGAATTGATTCCACCCATTTATATAAAATTTAAGTGTATTTTAAATGGGTGCACTTTATTTCACTCTTCTGATTGCATGTATAATAGAAGACTTTCTCTTGCATAAGTAAGTTTTTTTGGGATAGCTGCCAAGACGAAAGAGTACCTAAGCCTTGGTTCGCAATAGGTAAAGCTATTTACGTTTACTTTCTAAAAGCTGCGATCCATTACTAGAAATTTAAAGGAATTCAATGTGGAACTGAAATGCGTATTGAAACAAATTAATTGTGTTTTGAATAACATTGACTCGACCTCGACCAGCTCCGTGTCGATGAAATGAAGGAGTGCTTGAGATTAACTTTTCAGAGGGATACAGCTGCTTACTTTTAAGGATATAATTGCATACCTGTGATTCGCATTTAAATAAAATGCTAGTGTTTTCAGTAATAGTGACTCGGTTTTACCCAGTTTTAATTCATTGAATTGAAAGAATACTTGAGACTTACTTTTGAAAGGGGTACAGCTGCTTACTTTTATTTTGACAGAGCTTAGATCATTTCGTCCAAATTGTGAGGATACTAAGGCGGTCCTATTAGACGCGTTCCAATAAATTGCCAGTATTGAAGTAGATCGCCTGTTGCAGTAGTTGCAGCATGGAACCATACACAATTCCTGATGATTCCTCGCTTAGCTGAGAATTTCACAAGCTGGCTCGGAGAGTTGGTTTTGTGGTGCAAAGTTTCTCCACCAATGTGAGTGGGCGAACTCCGTGTCTGACCCGATTGATTATCCCTTCATTTAACTAGGAGATTAGTTGCATTCTCTCGCCATCTTCACCCAGTACATGGTAGCGATGGAAGAACTCGTTGACATGTGTTTTCCTTCTGTTCAGCGACGAGTTAGTTAAAGGTAGCACAGTATTCAACCAACGTGGTGTTTAGGTTACCACAATCTCTACGGTAAGCGAGAAATGGTAATGAAAATTGGCGTGAAGAGTTTGAAGCTGCGTAAATGTTGGAGGCTGAAGCGCAGGTCAGATCTGTCACTGTAAGAGTGGTAGAGTGTAATCCGTAGGGGTAGTCTAAATGGAGATAATAGACGTCATTAAACGGGAAGATCATTGTTTTGTTGGTAGTTAGAATAGTAGATGTGGATCAGCGGAGTGATTGGAAGCGGCGTC